TCTCTCTCTCTTCACCAACACTAGTATAATCTCTCTTCTCTATATACTCATTTTGTTCCAGCATGTTCATCTAGAATCCGGCATACAATGGGATATCCCGAATTGCCGAATAAGTGTTTTTTCTCTGGTAGTTGTGCTTTTATTTTTATTTTACCATTATTTCGTGAATAAAAGGAAAACTGTTTAAAAAAAAAAAAAAAAAGCTAAGAATAGTGGTGACCTTTGATTTGTTCCTGAAAAATGTCTTGTGGACATAATGGTATTGTAGTCTGAATTCTGAATTTTTTGACCGAGATTTTTGCCGAAATATTCAAGTTATCAAAAGGTACTGAGACACACGTCAACCAATTCAGTTTTTGCTGCTGATTCCAAATATGGCATTAGCTTTGCAAAAAAACAACAACAGAAGTTTGACAGTGAAAGCTTCAAAATACAAATGCATTTCCTTGCTTTTTGCTATCTGTTTCAAAAAACTTAATTTTCTCAACGACGGAGTAATATTTTCCAAAACCGATCCTTAACTTTTTTTCGTGCTATTATAGCGAGTGGATTGATATAAAAATATTGGCTTCATCTTCAATCTAGAAACACTATTTTTCAGATTTAGTTTTTTACGGAGAACAATAATAAGAAGCTCCCAAGGTTCCCAAACATATTGTGTTCAAGATTTATGATAGTTTTTCAAAATTAAGCTATTTTTTAAAATTTTAAAATTTTTCGTTTTTTTGCATTTTCGACATTAAAATTTTGATTCGACAGGTTAAAATACACATACTCGGATTCAGCACAAAAATATGCATCGAATGATGTATAGAAAAAGAAAAAAGAAAAAGCGTGAAAGTTTTGAATTTTCTTAACCTTACAAAGTTTATTAAAGAAATTTAAAAGCCGAATAATTTAGCCTATGCGTTCATATGAGGGACGAATTAAGATATCAATTAGGGACGAATAGAGAGGACACCGGTTGAATATAAGCGATAACTCTCAACCAAAATTAGGCATATTTTCTGTACGTTGTTCGGTAATTTGAGCCAAATGGATAGTGTCTATCTGAAGTTATATAGAACTCTGGACTCGTTCTTTCACTCAAATTTTGTGGCGCTTTTTTACTCAAAGATTGTTAATTCAGTGTGCGAAGTTCGCGAGTGAGTCAAAAGCTCTAAAGTAATGTCCAATGTTGTTATTGTGCAAAAAGACAAAGAACAGAAAGGAAAGAAAGTGTTTATTGCTGTCAGCGTGCAAGAAACACACAGAGCAACATGTTTTCAGTCAATCAAGAAGAGCCAAGGTGATGTGACGATTCGGTGTGCACCCGACACATTTAATTTTTCTGAGCGCGTGAGACACTACGTGAAACAAATATAAGGCTAGTATTTTATAATATAAAGTTAAATATTTTTTCTTCTTCAATGGTACAATGAGTATATACAATTTTTTATTCTCATCTCTTTTAGATGGTATTTGTTATTGGTCTTGGTGGTGTAACGGGTAGTGGTAAAACAACAATGTGTCGTGAATTATCAAAATATCTATCAACTAAATATAACAATGTTCAAGTTATTGATTTGGATTCCTATTCTCGCGATGTAGATGATCCAAAACATATCCACTTACAAGAATTTAATCATCAAGATTGGGAGTCATTAACCTCATTACATATTGGTCGTTTTATATCTGATATAAAATCAAGTATAAATAACAGCAGCGATTCTATAATGATAATTGAAGGTTTTCTGATCTATAATATTGACGAATTAAAGTCGATTTTTAATTTACCCTATTATTTTACATTAAATTTTGATGAATGTCGTAAACGACGCTTCCAACGGATCTATGTTCCACCTGATCCACCAGATTATTTTGATAAACATGTATGGCCATCATATTTAATTGCTAAAAAGCAAGCACTTAATCAAATCGAAAATTTAATCGAAATTGATTCAACACAACCTTTTGATGATATTTATCGTAGAATTATAAACGATATTAATCAAGAAATCGCGCGCGTGAATAAATAATAATTCCGTTTCACGGATAACAATGATTATTGATAATAAAACATTGATGAGGATAAAAAAAATCATCCACTCTTTCTCTTAATTTAATAATTTTTATATTTATTCAGTAAAGTCCATTTTCATTCTGAACACGAAAGCAAGCTTTTGTTAAACCGAATCGTACTATCCACCATCACGATAGGAAACCAGTTACCTCTTTTAAAACGACATATGTCCGATATGTAAAAATGGTGTTGTTTAAAAATTAGGAGGATCTTTCGACATTCCCAGAAACTGTTTGGGAGTGTCAACGAGAGCCTGTTGGCACTCCATAGGAGTGACAGTACAGTACTATTGATACTTTCAGAGATTGCTTAGGAGTGTCAAAAAATTCTGATTTCTGATTGTCTGTCAGCAAAAGTTTACCTTTTCTTTATAATTTTTTCTTGTTGAGCCAAATTGTTTTGTAACCGAGATTTTTACTTTCCAGAATATGTTATTAGGTTTGAGATTTGTATTTATTTTTGTAGTATATTTTAATAAAACATATGCTAACAGACATTTTCTGTCACACGAGATTAAATTCACTGTGTGCAGGCCAGCAAGAAATAGATCTAAACTTTTTATATGCAATTCGTAGCCAATGAGTTGAGAAACAGCATGAGAGGGAAAAAATCGTTTTATTATGTTTTATGCTTAAATAGAAAGAAGAGAAGATGCGGAGAAAATAATGACTTATGCACTAAATGTCACGCGAGATTTTGAATTTTATTATTTCAATTCCTCACCGATTATCACAGTTGTAACCTCGATTTTCTTACCCTTTTTCTCAGACCTCTAGATAACTCTGAAGATAAGTATCAATTATTCAGACAGATTCTTTAGCATAAAAGTGTTGATAACTTGGACTATCATTCAGATCTAGACAAAGTAGAGGCGAATACAGCTCATATTTTTCATAGTATATCCCATTATGAGCAATAAAAGATTAACCGCCTATTTCTCGGTCGTATATAAATTCGACTAAAATTTGTTAAAAATTTGGTTTTTTCACACTTTTGATCAAACACAACAGAATTCGATGTAGTTTTTCGAGCCCTTTCTAATGGTGATGTCAATTTTACCCCAAAACGTAGTAATTTTTCCCTTAATCGTTTTTATGACGAAATTTTGGGTTTTATATCCCGATCGGGATATTGATTTTTTTCTATATCCTGATCGGGATATAGGACGTGTCCCATTACTGACCGTAAAGATCTTAAATACGTTATAATTCCGTAAGCACTTTACGGTCCGGAATTATAGTGACGATAGATTCACGTTCGTTCAACTACCTTTAGTTTTATTGAGCTGTATTGCGCTTTACTAAACTGTATACGGTTCTTTACATACCGTTTAGTTCGATATTGACCTCGGTTAGCCAAACCGAAGCTAGGGCTTGAAAAATTCTTTTTTTCTGGAAGCAAGACTAGAAAGGAGTACTACTATGTACAGCACTAACCTCTTACCAGGATACGACGGATGAATAATATACCATAAAACTATAATTTCTCTCTTCGACTTATTAGTGATTTCATTCCATGATAATGAGTAATGCACCGATATATTTAGTATTCATATTTCCCTCAGCGCAAAAATTCATGAAAAATTCTCGGACGTAATCCATGAACAGAATTTCTATTTGCAAAATGTTTGCAGAAGAAATTTCAGCTTTTAAAAAATTTCCCCATATTAATAAGTTTTCTCCCGACGACCGTCGGAGAGGCAAATTCTGCAGCTCTATATAGAGCTCGATAAAAGTTATCAGCTGATGTGGGAAAGAGCTCAAATAACTTTATAGGGGCTTCACATTAATAAGAAAAAAGAATTATAAGAGACAAACTTTAAAAAGTGGTATCATGACTATTAGATGTGGAGTGCATAGCCTCAATAAAATTTAAGGCTCCTCTCTCAGAAATACGACATTTTTGTAAAAAAGGTCAATATTTAAAATTTAATCTATTCATTATCAACATTTACAATAAATAGTAGCATTTTTTTATTTATTTTGATCAAGACGAAAATAATTTAAACGCAAAACACCATTAAACATTAATCGTAATGAAGCTTTGAAATCTATGGAGTCAATAAGCATAGATGTATGTAGTTAAAACAAAGGAGTAATCAGCAGTAGTTTGATTAGCTCCGTTCTGATTAGGCACATTTTTTCTAATAAGAACGCCAAGCAAAGACTAAGCAAAACATTTGAGAATTCAAAAATGGCTTGATGCTAGTGTTACGCAAAATTGAAATTTTTGATTTGCTAAACGAAAATAATAAGGAGTCGAAAAGTCCTATCCACGTTAATGAGATTATATGAACTTTCATCCGATTGAATATTAAAATGCACTGGACTTTTATGGAAAAATTATGAATTTTTTAACTTTTTGCTAAAGAGACTGAAAACGTCAGTTTTTTAGTTTTGTAAATTTTTCTCTTCTTTTCAGTGCATGCAGAATCGTTTCTCATACAGTGTCTCATAGAGCAAAGTGTTCTCTTCACAACGAGACACCCCCAAGAATTTTTCGATCGTTTTTCGCAGAAATATAAACATTATCGCAAATGCCCCTGAAAAAGTGGCCGGTCTAGTGTTACTTTTAGTTTCATAACACAAATAGTTCCAATTCAGTCACATTACAACTACTCTAGAAAATGATCGGATAGAGCTCAACTATTTATCACAGAAACGTCAGATTCTATCAGATTCTAAATTTTTTTAAGCGTTTTCAAGTTGAACTTTCAGCCTGAGATGGTTTTTAAATGAAAGACCGACTTTTGCACACCTATTACATATGATTGTTACCACTTTTCGAATATCTCGAGAAGAAATGCTTATTTTCTGGAAAAATTGGAATATGAGATGGAGTCTACACTATTTATGGTAAAAAGTTGAGCTCGACGAGACCATTTTTTTCAGGTGTCGTAATGTGCCTGGATGAAAAATACAGTTTATCATAAACGAATATGACACAATATCCTGAACAAAAATACATGGATTTTCTTGTTCGATATTCTATCTCTAGTACAAATTTGGGGTCGATCAGACATTGCCTTATAAGCCAAGAGGCTAAAAAGAGAAGGACACCGTTAAAAACTGTGACAGTTTTTACAATCACAGTTCACCGTAACTGTTGCATACCTATATAAAAGTGGGAAATTTTTACACTATACAACAAAAATGAAGCCTCAATTTGTTTCGATTTCTTTAGGCGCAAAAAGAGAAGGACACCGTTAAATATGCGCTCTTTCTACTGACATTATTTTTAAAGTTTGAAAGTATGTTCGTACAGGATTTTCAGAGATTCGCTCTCCAGAAAACTAGTAGAAACATACTTTCAAAGTTTGGAAATCATGCAATTGGAAAGCGCGCAACCAAAACCTATAAAAACCTGCTAAGAGGCGTTCGTATCACTTTTATCTCATATATCCACATGTCAGACGAAATTTGCTGTGTTTATACGCAAAAAGCGTCGTTGTGTTTATACGCAAAAAGCGTCGTATTACACTGAATCAATCTTTTGTCTGTAAATTAATAAATTTGTACATCATTCGATGCAATTTTATGCGCTAATTCAAAATATGTTGCTATTTTTCAACAAAAGTGCTTCTGGACGGAGAAAAATAGATTTTACTTGAAAAACCAACAAATCGTATATCTCATTCCAACCACGTTCGCGCTGGTTGGCGCTAGCACTGTAGGTGTATTATGAGCAGAACAACATTCTACCAAAATGTCATCAAATATGAACCTTAGCTAAAGTTAACGCATTAGTTACACCACGTCAAAATTCGTACAACAGTCAGTCTGGGTGCTTCTCAGATGGGTGCTCTCAGGGTCAAAGGTTTTTTTTTTGTTTTATCTATTCAGTCGAGTCCGAGTCTTGGCGATCCGATGGATCAGACTTCTCCACGTGTTTCTGTTATGTACCATTGTGTTGAGTTGAGTTAATGTTAACTTTGTGTCTTCTTTTATTGTATCAATCCATCTTTTCTTTTGTCTTCCTCTGCGCCGTTTACCACCGA